CTATTCTGACCTTTAAGTATCTGTATTTAACATGTAGAAGACATTGTGTGTTTCCCATGTATCTACAATCATCCATGAATTTTTCTTCTTCTAATGCTTGGTGAAGCATTTCTTGACATTGATGCACACCTATGTCCTTTTCCTAAGTATGTTACTGTTTAGGCATGCTCAGTTAACAGCTTTCATATGATTTGTGTTATAGTTCATCATTGTTGGACACTATGTTTTTATTTCTTAACCTATTTCGAGAAATAGCTTATTAAAATGTTTCATGCCTACTAGTTCAATTAGGAGAATTGTCATTGTTAAAATTATTATTAGCAGTAATGGCATAATTATTGGAGGTAAATATGAAAAAATACTTCACCAGATGGTAGAAACATAAAGCAGGGAGAGGATAACATTCCCTTTATTATTGGTTAAATACACTGAACCAATAAAGATTTTAGTTCATGTTCTTATATTTACCATAAATTGTAGAGTTAATCAAAGCATTTTGTATGCCTTCTTTAAGGCATTCTGTGCAAAGGTACATAGGAATTTTTGTCCATTGTTATATGCCTATGTGGCCTTCACACAAACAGTTTTTAATGTGCCTCTTTATTACCTGAATTTTGAAACATTATCTTCTCTCTGCCTTGCTAAGTAGCAGCCTTAGTAATACCCAGGTCCAAACCTGTTGGTTTGCTCCCACACTTGTGTCAAAAAGCGCTTGTTGGGCTTCCCTGGTGGCGCAGTGGTTGGGAGTCCGCCTGCCGATGCAGGGGTCACAGGTTCTTGCCCCGGTCTGGGAAGATCCCACATGCCGCGGAGCGGCTGGGCCCATGAGCCATGGCCGCTGGGCCTGCGCGTCCGGAGCCTGTGCTCTGCAACGGGAGAGGACACAACAGTGAGAGGCCCGCGTACCGCAAAAAAAAAAAAAAAAAAAAAAAAAGCGCTTGTCATCTAATCGACATCTGGGCCCTCAGCACTTCTAAGACAGAAAGCCAGCATCCAGTCCACAGGAATTTTCTACCTAAGAACTCGAAAGCTGTGACAAGCTTCACACAATTTTTTAAGGTTATATTTTAGCATTTAGTCGTTCTTTCTTATGTTCTAAAAGGAGAT